CAATGTGTTTGCACCGCATTTTCTATAATTGAAGAGAAATCTTAAATGGGCAATAATATTTTGAATACATACAAATTCTTAATAATTGAATCAAATATGGAGCCTGTGACCTTTGGCATGATTGAAATATAACCTAATTTAGATGTTACCTAACCTCCGTAACGAAAAAAATACTGTACCATGTTTACACGTGCATATTTCTTTAAATACAGTAATGGTGTGGATTAAAATTCTTCTACTACTTTCTGAATACCTCTTCATCAAAATAATATAAAAAGTTTTCCAGTTTTGCAAAGTTCATATCGCTGCATTTCTTGTTTTGGAATTGTACCCCTTTTCGTGGAATGGCTGTTTTACTGTAGTATAAAATCTCTAATTGGGATGCAATTGTTTAGCATATGTGTAGTTCCCGGTATACGTCTAGTCAAAAGTAAAAGGAAACACAACATGCGGTCTCAAGTTTGTAAAATTTCAAGGGACATATTTTATACAGCAGCAAGAATATCAATTCAATTTCAATTTTCAATTTATTTCTGTACTGGTACATAGATTGTCATGACCTTGTACAATATATGATATATTAATGAAGATACAATACAATTGGTGCATTACCATTTCTCTAATTGGTAATTATGTGAATGAAAAAATAATCTTTATATATGTACTAGTAAATTTACCCATAAAATATTCTATCTAAGCAGTGAAATAAACCTTGGTCTGATTATAAATTTACCATAAACATATATAAACATATGGGAACAAGCATATGTTACACAAACAGGGAAAGGATATGTTCAAACTTAAAGATGCATACAAAGTCAATTTTTTGTCACAAAAACCGACCAAATGCCAGCATATAGTTTCAAGTAGTATAACTAAGAGAATTACCAAAAGGCATTGTTTAATTTTACCCGAAAATTATGTTTGAACAGATTTTTCTGCTAGCATTCTATGCTGTATGTCAATGGGACAGAAAAGTAGGTCACGAAAGTAAGTTAAATTTCCGACCAAAAATTTAAAGAAAGGAGCAGTCTAAAACTCTTTTATGGCTGATCGAGTGATCTATTCAGTTTATCCCTTGGCATGTCGAATTTATTTGAGTCGTATAAGAAACTAGTAGAAGTGGTTTACATGTGTTACTGGGAATCCACGCTCAAACGATGCTCGGTTCGTATGTACCTTTAAAGGAAGGGAGAACTACAGTTATATAGTTGTTTACATGGCTGTTTAAAGCCAGTTTGATGACATAGATAATTACAGTTAATGACAATTACATAAGACATAGATAGCTAAATAAGTTACACAGATATAAATATTGTGCCATGTTCAGTCCCACTGCTGAGTCTCTTCTCACAACAGTGGAACCATACACTGACATTTTAAGGGATATGCTAAGAGTTACCAAGCAGAGCAACCACTTCATTTCTTTTCTTGGATGATTTTATTAAAAAGTTGGAGAGGGATACTAAAATATCTTTGTTGGCACTGTTAAATACATGGCATAATTGACTGTCTGGTGACCTTGTATCAGCTTTTAGGATTGAGGTTTTTACTAAAAAAGGTGACTCGGTCTGCTTTGTACATTGGGCATTGGAATATAAAATGGTATTCATCTTCAATTACCCCTTGGGTGCACAGGCGACAGTTTTTGGCCTGGTGTGCCGCCCAGTTTCGATGTGGAGTTTATGGTCACTAAGATGTAGTTTAGCAAGGGTTGACAAAGTGTCGTAATTTGTTATTTTATCAACATAAGTTGCCCTTTCACACTTTTGGTTAAGTATACGGAAGAGAGACAGTTTACTGTTGGCTTGAAGTTTGCTATTGCATATTTGGGTAAAGTGGTCAGTTTGTCTTTGTTTGAAAATTGTGGTGAAGGCCAAATGCGAAAAGGAGTTTTCGGATCCCCTCAGACCATGACATACTGTGGGTGGAACATAAGGTGTCAGCAACTTGTAACTATTTATCTCATGTATGTATGCTTGTTTCATTGATGTATCATCAAACATTT